TAGGACCCAGTAGAAACCCAAATTTCTTGATCACGGAGGAAGACATTCGGACATCGGCCATATCGGACGCTGCAAGCTGCACAGTTGTACCCAAGTTCTTGAGCTACCCTCCGGGGTGTAAGTCTCGTCCCTCGGACTGCAACCCGCTCCAGGACAGGCCTTTCAACAGAATCACTTACTACATCAATCAGGAAGACTCGCTGTCCTTGATCATAAGCCTCGTAAGGCATCATTACAAGATGGTCTTCTGGCAGAACAATTCTGGACGGAGTAGGAAAAACCATCAGGACGATGGGGTCCGACTCACCTCCAAGACTCTTCCATAGTTCTGTCGGATTATTGGTAGTTACACTGCCTCTTCTTGACGAATAAAGGGTAACAGGAATGGACTGTACAAATGCTCGTTCAGGAAGAATCCAAACAGACACCTCGTCCAGATTTGCGTGTGACCACGCCCTGTCATATACGAAGTGATTCCATAATCTCCATGAGGACTCCATGCCCCGATATAGCCGGATCGGTGTTCTCACAGGATCAAAACATCGTTCTGCGGCTATTTCTGCACTCGTCCTTGGTCGGTGGTTTGATTGCATCCAGACCACTGAATCGTCTCCTTCTTCGAAGAGGGTTGCAGTGTTATCCCTCGCTTCCTGTATAAAGCGCTGCTCGTCCTCTCCACACGCACAAGGAGTTGGGTTTGTGACAATCATAATGTCAACCTGTGAATATTCAGGTAAGGCAAGGGTCTGCTTCCCCTGAAGAATCACCCTTGGCCTTCCCTCTTGATGCTTGGAACTGGCGTAGACTTCTTCCGCTAATCGCGGAAGACCAAGATCAAGTATCTCAGGAATTCGTTCGACAGCAAGGGTAGAAGAGATCTGTGCTGCCTTTCTTGCTAGGAAAACTCTCCTACCACAATTCCCAGCATCATCGATCCTCCACACATCGAATAGATGCACTCGATGGTCCGGCTGAATCGCACGATTCTCAAAGGCAAAAATGTGAATCTGTTGAAAATCTGCATGAGAGTTACGGTCGGGCTGAGGTTCGACGGCCGCAAGCTTAGGAGTGGTATATTCATCAGATACTCTCCAATGTGCTCGGAATATTTTTGCCCAGTTCCCATCTTGCAGAGGAAGTCGTTCGCATTCGTTGGTCACTAGTTGAGTAGGACGCATCCTCCATATAGCCAAAACTGTAATGTCAGCTTCTTCATAGAATGGAAGGTTGCGAATCCATGTCTTCAGGTCATCTCTCTTCACAAAGTTCTGTGTTGCAAAACTTGCAATGTTCTGAAGAGGTAATTGGGACTGAGCCGCCCCAGTACTCCTCGTATCTGCAGTTGTTCCCTGTATGTCACCAATCTGCATGAGCATGCTGTGATCCTCAAGAGAGTTTGGAGAATTCTCCCTCGAAGTCTGAGTCGCCGTGTTTGCCCTTGCCGGAAAATACTGAATTCCGCTCCAAACATATCGGGAATACTGTGATTCACTTGACCCGGACTGTGACCGATGTCTTCTCACTGCTAAGACTGATGCGTCGTTCGGGGTTGCAGTGTTTTCCCCTCCACGACTGCCTCCAAATGAAAGCACTTGACAGATGTCATCTCTTCTTTGATTTTGGAATGTAACGAGTTGCCCTTTGATCCATCGTTGCTCCTCGTCAAGGCTCAGTCTGGTACGCGCATGATCTCTAAACGAAAATGCGCAGGCACAAAAATCTATCCTTGCTGCATCATATGAATCAGATGTTATTTGTCGAACAAGAACGGCCATATAGCTGCCTAGTTCAAAAGTCAAAAAGTGCATAATGTTCGAATGATAGTGTTCGGCAGGCTGCGGCCTCACAATCGCAAAGGAACAACGGTCTGACCTGATCTTGTCAGACCATACTCGACACATCACTCCCTGGAGGTTGCCAAAAAGATCTGGTTCTACCGTCATGTCTCTGGCCTCTCCATTGCATTCGCTCTTTGGAGCATACCAGACTTTGGCTTCGAAGGGCTCTGTGTTGAAAACAAAGTTCTGTGTCCTGTTCCTATCAGCGTGATTCGTGCGGCCTTGTTTCAACTCACTAGGATCTTGTGTCCATGGATTGAAAACAAAATCGCCCAAAATTGTGCGCCTATCACTGTTGTGATCCTCCCTACCTTCAAACGTATGATTCTGACTGACATTTGGGAGGAAAACAATGGACTGGCTATGGCCTTCTGGATGCTGGTCTAAGCATCGGTCAGGACAGCTCCTTTCACAAGGCCGAGAAAAGGAACTGTCACTCTGCATGGACGGATTTTGGGCCTCTGGTAGGGCATATCCATCCCTGTTTGATTCAAGCTCGAGAGGACTATGAAGGCCAACCTGTTCACCGTTCGGAGGCGGTTGGCCAGTATCATGTTCGATGGCAAGACCTAATTGTTGTTGCTCTCCAGTAGCTCGATCAAAGCCGACATCACTGTCATGCTGCATTAAGCAAACAGATGAATCAGATGCCGAATGCTTTTGTTCTTCATAAAGCACGAACTGCTCCTTACCGAAATCAGCACGACCCTGATCATCATCATTGAAACTAGCATCAAATCCTAGTGTCTGTGCTGTAGCGGTTACATGAGATGTAACAAAACTGCAGAGAAAGAGCAAGTGCTTCCATTTAATCCGACGACTCCTAACTTTGGCAGGTGTCTTGCGAACAGAATGCAATGTTCTGCATTTGCCTAATAGGTCGATCCTCAAACGAAGGTTCAACCTGGTTGCCACCCCAACTGCCATAAACCCAATCGGATACCACAAAATATTCTTGACCACTTCAAGTTGGATATGCACACCCTCGAAGTGAATTATCCGGCATACAACCAGCACACTACAGCCCCAAAGGGCAAACAGTTGCAGGCTCCAGCTGATCAATCTTCTTCGGCGGAATAATCCCTTGAGGGATCTCCAGCACATCAGGGTTACCCACTTATGAGCAGTTAGCAAAAGGCAGGTAACCAAAACGAGGAAGTTAGCTGTATCAATCCTCATGTATGAAGAAAGACATCGAAACCCGTAACATCTGATGGATGTGGAAAAGTCAGTCGCAACCCACTCGGACTGAATATCAGATGGTGTTCGGCTTTGATGCTCTATCGATTCAAGCGAGATGTCCATGTCCATGAGTATCGGCTGTCCACCCACACACAAATGGCAGGGACCTGTGTTACACCAACACTCAGTACATTCTCGAATTTCTCCACAAGCAAAGAAGTCGGGTGTCGCTGTTTGAAAATCAGCGCCTTCCCCAACACTTCGATTCCGGTGCTGCTCCCATAAATTGATCTCCTCCACGTCCATCCTGGACTCATAGTGAGGGGACCGAGCAGTTCGATCTGGCTTCAACCCATCCTTTCTAAGGAATTTGAGGCGTCTCTCCGCGGGCTTCTCTCCCTGGATGGCGTTCTTGAAGGGACCTCTTTCACCTCCAATCTCTTCCTGGCGTCTTCGAGCGCTTTGAATCTGGCAAGCCGTGCCGCTTCGGCTCCATCGACGCCTTCCTCCCCAACTGGCAGAATGGTTTGGGGAAGCTTGTTGATCTGAGGCGACTTGTCGTTGAATGGGAATTCCCTCGGTTGAGGCATCAGCCCCAAGACATAGGAATCCATCTTCTGTTGCAGAAATTGGATTTGCGCTTGTGAGTCGGCCAGCTGACGCTTCAACTCGGCTGTGTTCATTTTGTCTTCTTTCGATGAAGTGTCCATTGAATCTGTTTCTCTGGCAATGATCTTGTTCAGATCGGCCTGAGTCTCCATGATTGCTTGCTCCAGCGCTTTGACATCTGCCTTGTAGGTCTCCTCTTGCTTGACATGATGCTCCTGAGATTTCCGCAGGAAAACTTGCCAAGCTTCCTTCTTCTCGGTCACCTTGGCTTTGAGCTTGTCTAGTTTGGCCAGAAGTTTCTTCCTTGTATTGAGCGTTCTCTGCTCGGATTTGATGTCGTCCAAAGGGCCTCCCTCCAGGAGTTCCTTCAACTGTCCTTCTGGCTCTATATCCTTGGATTGCAGGAAATCCAAAACGCCTTGTTTCCACTGGTCCGTCTTCCCAGCAGAAGATGCCGAAGAGGAAGACGTAGTAGATCGCAACGACTCGTAGGTGGGAAACTCCGGCTCCTTGGATTCCACTCCTGCTCCCTTTCCTTTTCCTTCTTTCTTTTCCTTTTGCTTCTTCGGATTGGGCCATGTGCTCCAACCCTGCCAACTGCTTTGCTTGCCTTTTCCCTGTGCCCATCCTCCCATGGGATGGCTATGGTGCGAAAGCAGTAGCCGCCGAGCTCGAGATGCTTGACGAAGTTGGCCTTTCGGCAGGTAGGTTGCTCCCTTCAAACTGTGCAAGAACCTCCTGGCTTTCGATCTCTTAGCCCTGAGTTTTCTGTGCCAGCTTGGGCTTTTCGGTCTCACTCGCGCCGTTGGTCTCTGCTGGACAACCCTACCACCAATCCAGACTCGACAATGGCGCAAGAAAACGGCGAGGCGAAATCAGAAAGAAAACGCCCCTGGGGCCCTAAGATCACACCGCTGTTGGTGCTAGTTGAGCCCTTGTCGTGGCAGCACGGCAAAACAAGATCAAAACTCGTTTTTTTTGGGGTGCGGTTCAATGTAGGCACAACATTGTATTGGACTCCCCGAAACCCCGTGTTTCACACAATGCCATAAGTATCCACGGTATGGGGATGGGTCAAAACATGGAGCCCGACCAGTCCACCATAGACCTTGACCTTCCAGGTAGGTTCACCGGTCGGTCTCCCACCATCAGCCATATACCTCTCTTCAAAACGATTCCAGGTTGAATCGTTTCAGTCGCGTCCTTGTTACTAGTAGCTTCAAAGACCTCCCAGTAGCTTCTTGTTACTACAGGTGAAACGATTCCCAGTCAAACGATTCCCAAGGAAGCTTCTATAGCTACGGTCGTAGCTTCTTGTTACTAGTAGCTTCAAAGACATACATTCCCTCCCCATCCCCTCTCACGTCCCGCCTTGGACGGAATGCTACTGGTGTCCGGCAACGCTGGTGCCGCCTTTGGCACCGCAGCCATTGCGGTGGCGGCGGCAGCGGCGGTGGGGTCCAGCTGCATCCGCTGCTGCCTGCGGACAGAGGCCATGGTTTTACCATGCATTCAGTCGTTGGTTGAGTTTCTGTGCCGCAATTTTATTGTGAAGAATCGACGTCATGTACATCCACCCTCCACATAAGGAGGATCAGATTTGTTTCCGCCCTCAGGAGAGCCGGTGGTGATGCTGTTTGATCCCCCGGCGTGTGAAGAATTGGCCAATCCGACTCTTTTGTTGCAGATTCTCAGGAGCGTTCGGACGCTACGAATGGGGCTCCTGGCATCGCTACGAACGGAACAAGAACGCTACGAACGGGGCTCCTGGCCTTACTACTAGCAAGGATGCTACTAGGAGCAAAGGGTTCCATTTCATCATCTCATCTCTAGATTATCCTTTTTCATTCAAGCTCCAACGTCCGTGACGTCGACGTGACTAAATGATATGCAACAGCGTGGGGGAAAGCGGTCTTAGGTTCTAGTGAAGAGATATTTGCCATGGTGGTTATAAATATGCTATAATCAAACGTAACATAACCGTTTAACCGCCAAAGGAATGACTGTTGTTTGTCCCAGCAGTGGTGTGAATCCTTTTATCCTCCTCTCAATTGGGTGCAACGAGACTTGGTGCTGCAGAAATTCACGTCGAGCTCCCCCATCCTGTCTGGGGACGACCAAGTCAGTGAAAATGCATGGAAGGTGACCCACCAAACGCTCCGTGAAACCAGCCCTTTCCCGGTCCCTCCAAACCTCGCGATTGGTTCGACCCCAGACCCCCGACCCAAGGATTCGGGTCCGACCCCGAGTCTCAGAGGATTCGGATCCAGATTTCGCGTCTGGGCAGGACTGAGTCCTTCATGCTTGACTGTGGGTCAAAAACCCCGTAAACCTGGTTGATTCCTCCAAAAGGGATGTCAACCTGGTCAAGCTCCCATGGTTTGGTGAGAAAGGTCAATTGACTCATTGCCAGATTTGGATTGATCTTTGCAACATCCTGTTGCTCCATTCCCGTGTCTTGGAAGCTGGATGAATCAGAAAGTAAGCTATCTGCCTCGAAATCAGTGCTATTCTCCAATTCCTGTTTTTCGTGAAATACATGTAACTGATGAAACAAGCACTGGAAACAAAAAACAGTGGAAAAAATGTCAACAGCTTTGTGTGGTTTATGATTCTCAGCGCGCAGTTGGAATGTGTGGGAATCGTTGGTACAAGTTTTAGGAAGTTGGTCAGCCTCCTGCGAAATACTTGCGCCGAAACATAAATAGAGGGGCCCCTTCTGCAGCAATGATAATGGTGTCGAGACTGTTGCGCCATGGGGGGTGAAAAAGGCTGCACTGTTTTTTTGCGAATCCAAGGAGCTGCGCTTGCCAAAATTGCATCATCATCTGCTGCTGTGGCAAACCACCCAGCATCTTGGCACCTGGATGCGTTCAATGCACGCCCTGGAACTAACATGGAGGTGGAGTTCTCAACCCCTAGGAGCACGGACGCTACGTTCGAAGGGCCATGAGGGGCCATGCCTTCCGCATGCGTCCATGTGAGTTCCAGGGACTCTGTACCCCCGTCCTTTCTGCTCGGGAAGTTACCGATGAATGTAACACCTAGGAATCGCCTTCAATGATGTCACAATTTATTTCTCTCGAGATAGAGGGAGCTCCAAACCGCATGATAGAGGGAGCTCCAAACCGCATGTATATAGGGACAATGATCAAATTCCATGTACCTTTCCAAATATCAATGGAATGCTTCGTGTTATTCGACCTGGGCGAAATCTGGGAAACACCATGGTACAACACTCGTACAACCGGACAAAAAAACCACCAACAGAGGTTGAAGAACCACCAACAAAGGCTATCCCAGTTGGGTTACCCCAGGTGATGCTCCTAGATCTCAGGTCACTTCCCAACCTCTCAAAACCGGTCGACAGCCGAATGACTGGCACCGGTGGCCGGTCCACCAACAGAAGATGCCGTCCAGGTCCCGGTTCGATGTCGACGTACGTAGGGGATGGGTCTCGTCTTTTCTCTCACCACAGCCTCTCCAGATCCCAAATGGTGAAGAGAAAACGGATTCGCCCAAAAAAGGTTGGAGAGAGACATCGGTAGGTTGGAGGCCATTGCTATAGAATGGAGGACAAAGGAAAAAGAACAGGAAAGAAAGGTCTAATACCAGAGCACCCTGTTTGGGGTGTCGAATTATAGCTCCCTTAGAGGTCCATGGGTATCCATGGGTATCCACTCACCACCCCAAACAGCGGGCCCTGGTGTTGTTTGTGATTCGGTTAGAGGCTCGGCTCGGCATTTCTGGCCCCTAACGTCCGAGGGTTGAGCCCAAGGTCAGCTCGGATCAAGTCGGACCGGTCCAAGGACTGAGGCGAACGGAGCCCAGAGGCTCCGTGAGTTCCCAGCCTGACTGGGTCCCTTCTCCAAACCTATAGGGATTGGTGAGAAGGGTCCAGACCCCTCCATATGACCATATGAGACCCCAGACCCCCTCCGCAAAATTCGCGTCCAGGGTGGCGTTGGGTGGCGTCGCCAAAACCCACATCCAAACGTATGGGCCCATGAGTCGGTGGCTTTCAATCGGTCCGTATAAAGGTGTCAACTCTCTGAAACCACCACCCTTCACGAGCCTACAGTAGCGCTTTCCGTCATCACTCCTTCCAAGTAGTCCCTTCATCTGGTCACTGGGTCTTTTGGCCAAAGGAAGGAAGCAAAAGAAGAGATGAACGAGGGACCACTCTGCCCACTTCGTTCGCGGAGGGCGTCGTGCGACATCGACCATTCGACCATGTCCGTGTCGCCGACGACCAGTTGGCAAGGAGAGAGCGAAGCGGGGTTTCCCCGCATGGGGGTGTATTTCTTCTCATAAGGAGACCCCCTGGTCTAGACCTTCTGAAAGCTTTTGAATATCACCGTAATCAAACACAAGCAGGCATGAGGACGCAGCAGGCAGGACTTTCACACAATCACCACACTGATCCAGATGGCAGATTACAGCGTTGGTGTTGATGCGCAGAAGAAGCAAAAAGAATTGATTCACCCAACGCCTGCCCTAAACACAACTAGCATAGACCAGTCGGACCACCGCTTTGCTCGGAGGGGAGGGTCTCCCGGTCTCCCTACAGGTCGGATCGCTTGGGCTTTGGGGTACTCACCGGGTTTTTTCGTGCGAGCAGAAGGGGTTTGGGTGATGAAATTTGGACATCCCAGGTGAAATCACTTTGGGTGGTCAATTTGAAACAACAAAGGGCCAAAGAATCTCCCTCCAGTCTGAGCTTCCCGGCAGTGGCCAGCCACGGCCAGGTGGCAAAAGTCTTACGGATCGCTTCTGCCGAGGGAAAGTTCCGGGAAAAGCTGCAGCTCAAAGCAGGGAAAAACGGGGGTCCGTGGTCAGTTGGGAGGTGTCTTCCTTTCATGCGAAAATCTATATCATGACTCACATGGCTGCTTTATTGAAGCATTCCAAAGGCATGTTTCTGGGTATGATCATATATGTCACAGGATACATGACATGTTTCGTTGTTCATCCTTGTTCCATGTTCGTATCTACTTACAGGGTGACTGTATGATCAAGCTCTGCTGCTCTGCTCACTCCAAGTTGCTCTGCACTTCCTCTGCACTTGCTCTGCACTTGCTCTGCACTTGCTCTGCACTGCTCAAGGAGGGGCATCAGTTTCTGAAAGGTTGCTTCAAGTACTTGCACTCTATTGCACTGACTGGCCTGTGGAGAAAAGAACAGCTGAACATTGTCTGGATTGCTTTTCTTTCTGATTTGATGAAATGAGGACCTCCTTCTTGGCAACCTCTGGAGCATCGCAGTGGGCAGCGTCACAAATCCACGTGTTCATCCTCCCCCCCAGTGCATCGGCGGCCGAACCCCGAAGAAAACCCCCCCCGACCCAACCTCTGCGCGGCGGTCGCGAGACGGGCGAGAAGGGGGTAGCTGCGAAGTGGTCAAAAGGGGCGTTCAGAACGGCCGTCAGCATGGAGAGAACATGGCAGCCAGTTTGGGAGAACGGTTCGCCGGGCTTCAGTGGATGATGGAAAGTTGTGGATGTTCTTCTTTGCCAACCGTTACAGGTAATAGGACAGACCCAAGTCACTGTACTTTCCAAGTCAGTGTGCCGTGACTCAGTAGGAAAAAAGACGTGCTTTCGGTGATCATCCCCTTGGTCCAGAGGAAAAGGCGTGTGACCGTTCTTAGGCATGTGCCCTTGGGGACTTGACCCTTCAGGAAACTCTCACATGCAGATCTTGCCTCGACAAGTTCAAAGAAATCCGCCATGAGATGGCGCATTGACTTGTATCGACGCGTTGTGCAGCACAGGTTCATGGTCGACACTCATTGTAGGCACCACCTTAAGATAGAAGACCATGCCTGTATGCCGAAGTCTGTGCTGAACACATGTCTTTCCCAGTATTGGTATACCATGGTATACCAATACACCAGGATGGTTCTACTGCCGAAGTATACAACTTTTGGATCAGCTTCTCGTTCTCTTCAACTTCGGTCACGTTGGTCAGATGGGGACGGCGTCTGTCAATCCTGAGGGTTCTAACCCATACCATGTTTGAGGGCGTTGGTCATGGGTCTCAGGTGTATCACCACCCTTCCTGGGGTATCTTCTCTGGGATTCCCCTTTGATTCTTCTCGACCTTGCAGAGAAAAAACTCTTGTTTCGGGTCTTCGCACCAAAAACTCCGTTTGCTTCAAAAGGAGTTTCCTCTTCAAACACCTGTGGTGTTGTGGACTGTTTGGGATCGGGGTGTTTGGGGGACTGGCTCAACCCACTGGTTCACCGCTTTGAGGATGACGGCACTGAAGCAAACCGCAAGGGCTGGAATTCGGCCCCGGTTTCGATGGAGAAAGTGACTCAATCAGGGGCCGGTTGACAGTGCACTACGCTGAAATCAGTGGCCATGATCAACAACCTTCGAATGATTTTGCCACATGCATACCCCTCGGAGCAAGACGAAAAACAACAGAAACATGAAAAAGCACGAAAAAGGGTGTGGTCAGTGGACACGGCCGAATATTCCATTTCTTTGTCCTCACGTCCGAGGACATACCCCTCAAGACCACCAGGTCACCCTCACACGCAAACCGCGAGCACGTTTAGGGGGTATCTCCCGTAGTCGCTCCCAACGAACTCCTCATTGGAGCCCTAGTAACTAGTAGCGGGTGGCTTATAAGGAATAAGGAAATTGGAGGGGCCCCTCCCCCGGCCACCCCCGGCGACCCAACGAGCCGCGCGAGGCTGGACTCCCAAAACCCTTTGTTGTTCCTAGTAGAAATGCCCGGCCTTTGCTAATAGCTTCTTGTTACTATAGTCGTAGGGCCAGGAGTATCCAAGAGCTACGTTCGGTTCGCGTCCGAACGCTCCGTAGCGATGGCGAGGCCCTTTTTGTCATACGCGCCATCAAAAGCGATCGAAATCGGCGGCGGGGTGACGCGTCACCGCGACATCGGCGGAAGATGCCCCAGATCTGTGGACACACAAACAGGTCCTTAGGCATGAAAGTTTGGGGGGGTCGAGAGTTCAGGGCATTTTCAAGAGAATTCGTCCAAATCAGAGGGACATCCCAAGGCCATGGGGGGAGGTTCCTTTTCTGGAAATGGCGGCCTTGTTAGACCAGGGCTATAGATCTTCCACATCTCGAGGCCTTTTCCGGACATCCAACGCACCCGGAAATGCGCCGCTCAAAAGCTACACAGGGCATGGAGTCCGAAGTCTGAACCGGTGAACAACCCAGTCTCCCAACTGAGAGATTCGCTTGGACGAAGGATGATGTTTTTTTTGACAAGCGAAACAGCTGGTCATCTGATGTCATCTGCAAGTCTGTCGCCAGGTTGAGACTCCGACACACAGGAGATGTGCAAGAGAGATTGCCATCGGAGTTTTCTCGTGCTCTGCTAGTCCTCCATCTCGTGCTCTGCGCTGCTGTGTTATGCTGTGCACTATCGCTGCGCCCCAGAAGCGGACTAAAGTGGTTGCTTTGTTCCAGCAAGAACAACCATTCGTTCCAAATTGTTTGAATCTACTAGGCCGGGATTCTTCTTGCTCTGCAACCACTTAAAATTGTTTGATCGAAGGCCAACGTAATGACCATGGACTTGAGGCCAGGGGGAGAGGTCGAAAGCTAGCCGAATCGCACCGGATGTACTAGTTACATAGTCGGCAAAGCATGTAGGGATTACATGTTTTGGGAGGAAGGTTGCTATGTACATACTTTGCGCTAAAGAATGTAAATGTGACATCGCTGACTGGGAAGGGTACATTGGAACAACCCGGGTGCACTCGTTGGCAGGCACGAAGATGCGTGATCGGCAAATCTGGGGGGTAAATTTACCCTCCGCTTTTGTATGCCTTGAGTCGGAAAGAGGGGTAAGCATTTCTGACATCATACGAACTGTACATACACTAGGGCGTCCGTAGTGTAGGAGAAGCACGGGTAAAAGGTATATGGAATAGAGTGTCTTGAGGAAATAGCCGGTGTATGGTTATTGCAAATCTGGGGGGTAAATTTACCCCCC